ACCTGAAAACTCACTGCAGGCATTTTTATTAAAGAGAGTTGTACCTGCTCCAAAATAAAAACAACAGTTAGTAATGTAAAAAAATGTAGACCATTAAAAATATGTCAAACAGACACCCACAGTTACCGGGATCTAGAACCTTGCACCATGTGGATTTAAAGTCTTGCCCGCCTTGCTCTGAGCTCCTGTATGTGCCTGGGGCCGTGGGGTGGTTCCCCCCGGGGGATGCTGGACACAGACACCTCACTGGCGTCTCTGTCTTCGGTCTGCTGCCTATCCTGTCCTGACACGTGTCCTCATTTCTCAATGCTCCTTTCAAGAATGTGAACTCAGACATAGTCACCTTTGTGTTTTCCTCTTCAGCTTCCGTTCTCTTTGGGGACTTTCCCACTTAGACCACATCGGCTTAATTAGAGCTCTTCCCCTCGCTCAGAGAGTACTTTTAGAATTACTTTCTCTACACTTCTGACCATCTAACTCGGGAAATGCTTTCACGTTTTTCTAAACCCCTGTAGCCTTCGCAGTCCATGTCTCTCAGGGTGTCCTGCTCTTTCTATAAATGTTTGCATAGTCACCCTGATGGAGTATACTACACCGCTATGGAGAATTCTTGGCAAACCAAACGCTAGTCTCAGCATTCCTCTGGATCTCAGTGCCAGTTTGCAGAAAATGTAGGAGTTAGGGGAACATGCAGGATGACACCAAGGAGATGCGGGCATTAAAATTTTCTGGGCTGTTAGAGATTTTACAGGACAGATGACCAGCTTTTCAACAGTTAAGTTGAAAGATAGGGAAGGAAAGACAAGAACAGACCTGTAAATTAAAAGAGAGTTAAGACCCAGGGAGCAAAAGAAAAAAATAGATAAATTGGATTCCATCCAAATTAAGAACTTTTATGAATCAAAGAACATAATCAAGAGAGTGAAGACAGCCCACAAAAGGGGAGACATTTTTTTCAAATCACATTTATAGTAGTGTTAGTTTCCAGAATATAACGAACTACAACAACAACAACAAAGTACAAACCCATTTTTAAAATAGGCAAAAAACTTGAATAGGCATTTCTCCAAAGAGGACATACAGTTGGCTGAAAGTTCATGAGAAGGTGCCCAGCATCTCCGCCTACTAGGGAGATGCGCATCAGAACCATAGTGAGCTACCACTCCATACCCATCAGGATGCCTCATGGTTTTTTTAATGAAAACAAGTGTGAGGTACTGCTGTTTTGGAAAAAGTACAATGATTCCTCAAAAACTAAAGTCAGAGTCACCATATGATCCAGCAGTTTCACTTCTGGGCATGTATCCAGTAGAAATGAAAGTGGAACTCAGCAGATGTTTGCACAGCAGTGTTTGCAGCTGCATTATTCATAGTAGCCACAAGATAGGAACAGCCCAAATGGCCATCAACAGGTGAGTGAATACATAAAATGTGACATATACGTGCAGTGGAATGTTATTCAGCTTTAAAAAGGAGGGAAGTTCTGACCTATGCTCCAATGTGAATGAACCTGGAACACATTATGCAGAGTGAAACGAGCCAGTCACAAAGGGCAAGCCCAGCGTGATTCCTCTTGTATGAGGCCCCTGGATCAGGCAGGCTCCCGGAGACAGACCGCAAGACAGAGTCTTCAGGCAGGAGGCAGGTCAGGTGTGGGTGATGGATGTGCATGGTGTTTCAGCCTGGGATGATGAGCACATTCTTGTGATGACTGCACAGCCGTGTGAGTATGCTTCCTGCTATTGAGCTGTACTTTTAAACATGGTTAAGATGGTCCGTTTTGGCCGGGCTCGGTGTTTCAACCTGTAATCCCAGCGTTTTGGGAGGCCGAGGTGAGTGGATTGCCTGAGCCCACAGGTTCGAGACCCGCTTGGGCAACTTGGCGAGACCTCATCTCTACAATAAATCAAAAATTAGCCAGGTGTGGTAGCACATGCCTGTAGTTGCAGCTACTTGGAAGGCTGAGGTGGAAGGATCACCAGAGCCCAGCAGGTCGAGGCTGCGGTGACCAGGAGTGGCCATTGCACTCCAATCTGGGTGACAGAGTGAGACTCCAATTCAAAAAAAAAAGATGGTTCGTTTTTTGGTATACTTATCTTACCACAATAAGAAACCAGGTAGCCAGATGCAGGTGGCTCACACCTGTAATTGCAGCACTTTGGGAGGCAGAGGCGAGAGGATTGCCCAAGCCCACAGGTTCAAGACCAGCCTGAGCAGCCTGGCAAGACCTTTTCTCTACAGTAAATCAAAAAATTAGCCAGGCAGGGTGGCACGCCCTATAGCTCCAGCTACTTGGAAGGCTAAGGCAGAAGGATCACCTGAGCCCAGCAGGTCAAGGCTCTGGTAACTGACTGTGCCACTGCACTCCAGCCTGGGTGACAGGGTGAGATCCTGACTCAAAAAAAAAAACCAGACCGAAGCGAGAGAATTGTCTGAGCCCAGCAGGTCGAGGCTTTGGTGGCTATGAGCGAACCACTGCACTCTTAGGTGACACTGCACAGTTGCATGCCTCTGCACTCTTAGGTGACAGAGTGAGACTCCAACTCAAAAACAAACAAACGAAAAAAAAAAAACAGGTGACTTGAGAGATCCATCCCTCAAGTGCAGTGCAAGGACTTTCTTTGGGTCCTTATCTGAGCACACGTGAAAAACCTGTTCTGAAACAGGAAAGCTGGTCATGCTGATTTAAATTTGAAGATGTTAAGGAATTATTGAGAATTGTTTAGGTGTTTTGTTTTTTTTTTAATAAAGATATGGGGTACAATTCAGGGTTAGGTATACAAACACTGATCATGCAGGTACTCTTGTTGATGCGGTGTGCCCCTCCCTCCCCTAGCAAGTTCCCTCAACCGCCAGTCTCATCCCCGCCACCGACGGTGTTTTAACTGTATTTGGTAGGAAGGATAACCTTTTAGAGATAGAGTCTGAATATTTTTACTGTAAAATGGAATGACAAGTGAGATTTGTTTCTGAATAATTCAGTGGGAGGCGAGAGTGAAAGGGCTGTAGATAAACAAAGCCTGCCAGGGGTTCATTATTGGAGCTAAGTTTCATTACGTTATTATTTCTTATAATTATATATAATTATCCATCATATTATTCTCTCTACTTTTGTATGTCATTAAAGTTTTCCATGATTTAAAAAAAAGTATTTTCAATTGTTAATTGTGGCCGGGCACATGGCTTGCATCTGTGATCCCAGCTATTTGGGAGGCTGAGGTAGAAGGATGACTGGAGGCCTGAGTTCAAGACCAGCCTGGGCAACTTAGGAATACTCTGTCTCTAAAAACAAATGGAAAAAATTAGCCAGGCATGGTGGTGCACACCTATAGTCCTAGCTACACGGGGGGCTGAGGCAGGAGGATTGCTTAAGCCCAGGAGGTCAAGGCTGCATGAGCCATGAAAGCACCATTGCACTTTAGCCTGGGCAACAGAGTGAGCCCCGTCTTTTTTTAAAAAAAAGTTTTATGATCCAGAGGGGGCGAAATGTTTTTAATGTATCAGGGAGCCATGTTTTTTTTTAAGACATAGGATTTTTGTTTGTTTGTTGTTAGAGATGGTGTCTTACTATGTGGCCCAGCCAGTCTGAAACTCCTGGCTTCCTGTTTCTATATTTAATGTGTTTTGTTTTGTTTTTTATTACAAGCAACATAAATCCTGGCAAAATTTACTTGTGCAAGCAAGAAAGTTTATGTAGCCATCAGACACCAAGCTAGCTTCAAAGCCACCTCCATCCTGGGCTCCAGCACCAGGCCTGCCAGTGAGAGACTGGCCTACTCATGAGCTCTAGATGCTGGCCCTGCAAGTCCCCAGGCTCGCCGTGGCCCCACATTCCTAAACATTGTCACATCATCAGAGCCCTGCATAACAAAAAAAAAAAAGAATGTCAGCGATCCCATGTTTGCAGTTCCACAGTGCCGCTCCGATTGCCCAGCCCAGTTCATGGCCTGTCCCTGCACTTTCCTGCAGCCAGATCAGTGCAACCTCCTGGGTAGCAGCATGGGCCTGGGCCACACGCCTGTCCCCATGTCAGCTCCATGAAACGCAGTGACTGGCTCCGGCCAGTTGGCCCCAGCCTCCGGAGGTGAACACCCATCATCCTGCTGGAGCGACATGTTTGGAATGGGTACAAGTGATACCCAGAGGAAATCAGGGATTCAATCACTGCATTTTAAATAATGCCATTGGCTCTTGGTGTATCCAGATCTCAGTATTCTACTACATTTATAAGTTAAGCTTCACTTGAGATGTTATAAAGAATTCGAAAGAAATTATACAAAGTGCCACGCAGGTGAAACTTTCATGGATGCCTGTTACCTGCTCGGCAGCCTCCATCCTCCACTGTGTTAGTCAGTGTTCTCCTGAGAAACAGAGCTGATGGGAGATGGAGAGGGAGAGGTGAATTAGGAGGAGCTGGCTGCATGGTCGTGGAGCAGGAGAAGCCCCATGACCTGCCGTCGGCAAGCTGGCGGCCAGAGAGCCTCCCACGAAGCCATCAGCCGCAGGTGAAGGCCTGAGCCCCAAGGAGCCTGGTTGAAGGGATGAGTCCTGGTAAAGCAGAGGGTGAGATGTGCCGACTCAGCCACCAGGGCTGAAAAGAAGGGTGATGCCTGCCTTCCTCCACCTTCTGTTCAGTGTCTTGGATCATGCCTGTCCACATGGGGGCATCCTGCCACTGCAGATGCTAATCCCATCCCAAAACACCCTTAGGACACACCCAGAAGTAGTACTCAGGCTGAGCACCCAAGATGGCTAACCTGAGGCCTAGTCATATTGACACAGAAATTCAGCTGTCACAGTCTTTCAGGCACCTGTGACCTGGTAAATCGTGTCTTTTTTTAAGGACTGTACTTGAGCTCTCAATCATAAAAATTGTTTGCTGTCTCAAAGAGAGGTAATTCAGAGTAAATGTTTTTTAATTGGGTGAAATTTCAGCATGAATATCTCCATGTGGACATTTCTAAACTGTCTAAACTGTGTGTTTTCCTTTTCTCTTTCAGGGCTAATTTCGTATACCGAATATCTTTTCCTGCTTACGATCCTCACTAGTAAGTATCCCACAGTTTTTCTGAGTGATCCCGTGGAATTCTCTCTTCTTACCAGACGGGATTTTGGAAGTTGGATGTTTATATTATTAAAAAATATGTCAGTGTCTTCGTTTCTGTATCTTCAAAAGGACAATATTGGGTTAGAGGATTCCTCTCGGTCTCTCCTGCCACCTGTGTACCATGGCCCCTGTACCTTTGTCTCCTTGGAAGAGGGCTTGTTGAACAGGAGACTCATTAGCCTTCCCTTAGGAATACTAAAAACCCTTATCTGGCCTTGCACAAAATCCCTGAGCAACTCTCTTCAAAAGTGCGATGGTCACGGAAAGCAAGGGAAGACTGAGAGGCAGTCAGAGGTTGAGGAGGATGAGGAGACTTGCCAGCTGGATGTAGCATGGCACCTGTGGTTGACCCTGGAAAGAAGAACCGCGTTAGTGAAAAGAAGGAAGACATGACTCCATGCCTGTAGTGCAGTTCCTAAGCTATGCCCTTGCTAATCTCTTAGTCTTGGAAGTGTCCTGTGGTCATGCATGCTGTTCACAGCAGAGGTAGCTGGGGAGGAGTGTACGGGGGCTCTCTATAAGTCTAAAATGAGTGTAAAGTGAAGGATTTTTTACAAATTCTATTCTGAAAGGGAAGTAAAAAATCATCAACATGAAAATGGGCCAGGTACTGTAAGAATATAGAAAAACCCCTAGGAAAGCTAAGGAATATATTACTTCTCAGCTAACTCAGCTAACAGCTGCTAGTAGTACATCAGTGCTCGGAGAAGGTGTTGGAGAGAGCAGGACAAAGCCCTGGCACCCAACATTGGCCTTGGAAGTCGTTACAGGAGAAATCCTCATTACTTCTGCTGAGAACTTACTCATGTGGTTTCTGCTAGTTTATTTCAAATGTGAAGATCGATCTCTCTCTGGAAGTAATTTGCTTTTCACCAGCATTGAAATAATTACTCATTTTCACTTCATTGCAGAACCCCATTCAGGGTTTCATGTTGCCTTTAAAATGCTGGATGCAGATGGGAATGAAATGATTGAAAAAAAGGAATTTTTTAAGGTAAGTAGATGCGCATTGTTGTTGTGTATTGTAAAACACCTGGGTGCTGTGTGATCACTTTATATCCACTGTTTACATATGAACTGTCAAGAAATTATTTATACCTTTAAAAATATTACATTTCCGCTGGGTTCAGTGGCTCAGCCTGTAATCCCACGCTTTGGGAGGCCGAGGTGAGTGAATTATCTGAGCCCGCAGGTTTGAGACCTGCCTGGGCAACTTGGCGAAACCTCATCTCTACAATAAATCAAAAAAATTAGCCAGGCGTGTTAGCGCGTGCCTAGTTCCAGCTACTTGGAAGGCTGAGCGGAACAATCACCGGAGCCCGGCAGGTCGAGGCTGCAGTGGCCGGGAGCATGCCACCGCACTCCAGTCTGGGCAACAGAGTGAGACTCCAACTCAAAAAAAAAAAAAAAATTACATTTCCTATAATACAACTTTGAGGAAACTGATAAGTGAACAGAGCCTGAGACTCCAAGAGGAAAATGGGCTGAATCGCCTGCGTTTCTTGGGGCTTATTTTTGTGATTTCAGTAAATGATTACCTGGTAAAAGGCTTCATGGGATATATAGACTTGAAGGAATATGTGTTAAAGATCGTTTTAAAATTATTCTTATGCCAAAAACAAAGACAAGGTCCAAAAGAAACTTAAACCTTCATAAGAAGTAGGGGGAAAAAATGAAAAGGCTACAATAGGTATAAATTGGTGCCGATTTTCCAGGAATTTAACTAAGACCAATATTTGAAAAGCTGAAAATATGTTCAAATCATATATTCCAAGGCATAACTCTAGAAGATCCAACAGGCAAATTTCACTCTGTTCCCAAAACATTGGTGGGATTTCAAAAAAATACCTCAGTGCGCATACGCTATTGGGTATGTGCCAGTTAGAGTTAAGTGTTTTCAAGCTACTGCAGTCCTTTATGGAGAAAAGAAAACATATGGATAAATACATGGCACAGTGCCTAATACATACCAGCTAACATGGAAGAATTAATGAGTACACATGTAAATGACACTAAGTACATACATAATTGACTTATGGCCTTTTTTTTTTTTTTTTTTGAGTTGGAGTCTCACTCTGTCGCCCAGACAGTAGTGCAGTGGCTGCTTCCGGCCACCGTAGCCTCGACCTGCTGGGCTCCGGTGATCCTTCCGCCTCAGTCTTCGGAGTAGCTGGAAAGCATGCACTACCACACCCAGCTGATTTTTTGATTTATTGTAGAGATGAGGCCTCGCTGCCTAGGCGGGTCTCGAACCCGCGGGCTCAGGCAATCCACTCACCTCAGCCTCCCAAAGGCACGGGATTACAGGCTGAGCCACCAAGCCCATTTGCCTGGGACCAGGAGGGAGTAAGGAATCACTGCAGAGAAGGACGAGAGAACTTTCTGGAATACTGAAAGTAATTTACATCTTGGCTGAGCTGGTGGTTACCATTTATACATTTATCAAAACTCATCCAACTATATGCTTTAAAGGGGTTCATTTTATTGTATCTAAATTGTATTTAGTAAACCCTTTTTACACAATTCTATACCACAAGCCTTGCAAATTATTTACTAAAATATTTGGTTTTGTGTACAAGAAGCTATTTCAAAGTCTAGAAACGAAGGACAGAGCAAAAGTACTAAGGAGAAAATAAACTTATCTAGAATACTACACAGCCATAAAGAAGAACAAAACCATATCCTTTGCAACAGCATGGATACAGCTGGAGACCATCATTCTAGGTGAACTATCACAGAAACAAAATACTGAGGACACATGTTCTCACTCGTAAGTGGGCCCTAAACATTGGGCACATGGGAAGAAAGGCAGAAACAACGAACTGCTGAAGGAGTGGGGGAAAGAGGCATACAACCACCCACTGGGCACCATGTCCACTCCCGGTGGGGCAGAGGGCCAGCTAGAAGCCCAAACCTCACTTGCACTCAGTTCGCTCATGTAACAGATCCTCAGGTGGGCCCCACGACTCTAAAATTAAAAAAGAAAAGAAACTTCTCAGTGGGATTCCACCAAAATGAGGCTTATAAGTGTGTAACATCATTAGAACTTAATGGAAGAGTGTGTCTATGGTGTATAAATCTAAGCACAAAGGGAGACTAGGATAGATGACAGAATCTGTGAGAGTAGGCAGAATGTCAAAAGGAAATTCCCAGGTTTTTAAAGTGCAGCAGAAACCAGTTGTTTATTTTTTATTATTATTATTTATTTATTTATTGAAGAATATGAGCCAAAGTTTTATTTGTTCATAGGGTCGAGGTTCTTGTCTCATGTCCAGGAAGTATGAGGGACAAGGACATCTGGAAAGTGAGAAAGCAGGATTTACTGAGAGGACAGAGAAGCTCCCACAGTGGGAGGGGACCCGAAGGGGTTGCCCCTAAACCAATTGTTTATTGACTTTCAGTTCAGTTGTTGATATGAGGAGTCCTTATTTAAAATAAGGATACCGCCAGGCTCGGTGACTCAGCCTGTAATCCCGCACTTTGGGAGGCTGAAGGTGAGTAAATTGCCTGAGCCCGCGGGTTCGAGACCTGCCTGGGCAACTTGGCGAGACCTCGTCTCTACAATAAATAAAAAAATTAGCCGAGTGTGGTAGCGCGCGCCTGTAGTTCTGGCTACTTGGAAGG